TCAAATCCATTCACTCTCCTGGCACTCTCCAACCTCCTCACTCCCCAATCCATCGCCCGGCACCTCTGCCTGACTGGCATCCACTTCCTATTTGTCCTCCGCACCCTCTGCTCCACCATTGAGATTGCGCTTTCAGCCACTATGCCCCGAAACTGTGGAACACTCCCTCAATCCCTCTGCCTTGCCCGTTTTCAAGTCCCACCTGAAAACCTTGCTTTTCGACCGTGCTTATGGTCACCTCGCCCCATCTCCCCTGGCTCTGAGTCGGGCTTCACAACTGTTAGGGGCTCTGAGGCGCCAGCCTGCGTGGAGGGCGCTATATAAGTGCAAGATGTTGTTGGTTCTGTGTTAATGTAGTTGGATTGGAAGGAAGACTGTGAATTTCATCACACAGACATTTTCCCAAACGTGGAATCTACTCTTGCAATCAAAGTTTGGGATAGATACCATGGGAAGATATTCAAAAACATTGGTAGATAATTTGTGTTTTAGGTTGATATTACTCTGCAGTTACATTAGCTCCATTTTGAAGCGAGCAGTTACATTGACCACCTTCATGGTGAAGGGAAATTCAAACAAATCAAATTCTATTTTCTTTGCTTTAAAGTTTTTAAAACATCTGGAGAACTGAGTGTGAAAAAGGCTGATTTTTGCAGAATCATACCATTCGGAAGACAATAAGGAAATTGGTTGCCAATAGTAGTGAGTGTTAGAAAGTGGCCAAAGTTGCTTTCTTGCAGTTCTCGCCCACAGTTGAAGCTTCAACTCAAACTCACGCACATGGCTATACAGCAATGTGACAAATTGATTGCACACTTGAAGATACGTTTTCAGAATATTGAAGTGCTCAATCAAGTACATCAGAAATGCCAGGTTGTAGACCAATATTCATTTGACAACTCAGGTGTATTAGAATGTGAAACATGCAGAAGGCAGATTTATCTAAGCCTTGAATGTGTAGAAACATTTCAAAATTGTATCACAACTCAACCAGCGAACCTCTGAACTGCACTGAATATAGACTGTTCAGTTCTTTCAGTAGGCTGAAATATTCTTGAGCATGGATGAAATTTACGATGTCTATTTTCTTCACTATTTTCCGACAAATATATTAACGAACAATGCATTAGTACGATGTGAATTGGAACAATGAGTTTTACAAACACAAAGTTTGTAAAAAAATATATATTTGATGTTGTAAATTCTAATATTCAATTATAAATTTAATATTGTAAAATGTTTAGAGAGAAAGTCAAATACTTCATATAGGAAGCTGTATTGTATTTAATGCAATAAATATATCATTTATATTAAAGAAAAGGCAAATGAACTGCTTCATAAACTTAACATTTGCCAAATTCAGTGCTATAGATTGCAGATAATTGCCCTGTTCCTATCTGACCCAGTGCCATTATTATATATTTTCCAATGGCTTACCTGGGCTCAACGGCTTTCCCGCTCAGTGCTGCTAAAGTCATTTTTGATGCATCGTAGGGTTCTAACCCTCATCCTCTAATTCTCATCTATACACTGCCCCTTAATGACATTCTTAACAAACATGGAGTTAGCTTTTACGATGTAACAAGAACATAAGCTTGAAATGTATATAAACTCTTGACCTTTGTGTCTAGTACTAAATGAGGTATGAGTAAGATGAGTTGGTGTGCATTGTTTTATCACCAAAACAGATTGTGCATAATCTATTGCACAATCATTTTTTTCCCCACAGTTTCTATATTTAATCACAGGTATTGCTTTGTAGCCTCTAAACTGATTAAAGTAAAAGGGGTCAATTGAATTCTGAGTGGTGTGATACATTTGAGTGAAAACCTGCAATACAAAGATGTAACGTATCCAAATGCTTGAGTCTATAGTACAACAGAGTCGCGATTAAATCTTTGTTAGAGTACTTTTCTTAGGAAGAAGTATTGTACTTAATTATATTTCCACCTGTTTGGATGTACAGTAGCCCGGCAAGTTGTACAGAAGAAACCCTTTATAATACACATAATGACATGGTTTAGTTTGTAACGCGATTGAGTTATGAACCATGATATTTTCTAAAAATCTAAATTCCTGACATTGCCCAAATCCATTGTTTTACAAACGTGCCGGTGCAATAACAGATGCACCCGAATTAAGTTGCTGACTTTACGTGCAAATGTGTTAACTTGATTGGTGACTTCACCATGTGGATGCAGATTGCAATTCTATGGCCCCCCCCAACTATACTTATAATATAATAATCAGTAGTTTGATTGATCAGTTTCTGCAGATGAGTTTTAACATTATTTTGGCTCTTATATTCACCAACAAAAGTTATATGTATTGCAGTTTTATAGCCTATATATTATAACCCACACCTTTTAATACGATTATATGGAATTTAATGCAATCTTGCATATTTCAAACCTTTCTAAACATTCCCCTGAAACCAATAATGCATATTATTATATAATATATTTGTATTCTTACCTGTTTGAAATATGCTTGTTAACAAAAAAAACTTAATTCGCTCACGAGGGAGAAGGGAATAGGAGGGTCCGGCTTGTGTGCAAAATCTGTCATGGAGTTTGTAGGTCAGATGGCCGTGTGGCATTCCATATTGTCTCATAGTAAACTCTGCACTCCCATCACCCCAGTGCATGCCAAGCTCCACTGGCTCCCTATTGCAGAACAGATCAATTTCAAGATCCTCACTCTTACGTATAAATCAATTTATGCCGTGGCACCTCCCTACCTCCCGACATGCTTACGCTACCCTTCTCTACCATCAGCAGCCGTGCTTTCAGCCACTAAGCCCCAAGACTTTGGAATTCCCTGCCTCAATCTTTCTTGCACCCTGCTTCTCTGACTTCAGATCACATCTGAAAACCTTTTTGACCGCCTCTATGGTCACCTCCTCTTGCCCCCTTGCTCGACATCAAGCTCCACCACGCTTAAGCGGTTCAAGATGCTATCATACTATGTAATTCTATGTAACAGGAGCAGTTTGTACCTGGTAGCTATGGTCACTTTAAACTGGATCTGCATTTATTGTACCTGTAATGATAATATTGCAAGAAATACATTTTCGCAACTCAAGATTGGTATATTGCTTTTAAGTAGATGTTGAAATGAGTTATTGTTATATTTAAAACATTACCAAAAATTGATTTATTTCATAGGGATGCACATTCAAACTACAATTCAAAATTTGTATTTATGAGCAAAAAATAGTGATACCACTTTTTGCATTATGAAATAATTATAATAATAATCCTTGCATTTGATACAGCTCTTTTCACGCCGGGAGGACGTCCCAAAGCGCTTCATAGAACACATTGTAAAGTGAATTGGCTGTATATTTGTGGGCGAATGCGGCAGCCAATTGCGCACAGCAATGTCCCACAAACAGTCGTAGATTGAAAATGACCAATTTATTATTGTTTTGGGTTTTGGAGGGATTATTATTAGTCGTGTGGAGTAAGGAAACTTGCCCAAGGTCTCGCCCTCTGCCTGGAATTGAACTCAGGTCTCACTTGCAAAGCGAGTGCTTTTACCATTGAGTTCCAGGACTCCACTAAGAACAGGTTCAAGCTGTTTTCTTCTCTCAGTACAGTCTGTTCTTGTATAGTAATTTGTCATATTAGTAGCAGTTTGGTTTTTTATCAAATTTAATAAGAGGCTACATCTTATTTCAAAAATCAGTTGTTCAAAATCACGTACATATTTAAAATGTGGAATTAAGAGGACAAAATATTGCACAGCATTTAAGTTAACCTGTTTTATTTACTCAGACTGGTTCCCTTTTTTAAATTTATATTTTTGTGTCCATAAACACTACCATTGTTTAATTTGTGAGTCTGAAGGATAGATACCATTGTGGCGAGCGTAACACGAAAATAGACAATAACTGAACCATATTTTAAGATGGTATAGAAATGTGCAACTAAAACTAATAGTATAAATTGAAGCATGAAGATTCAAAGTTAGGGTAGACTACAGAGACGTTTGTATAACTGTGCATTGTGATGGCTTATCATTCAGCCAAGGAGTAGTGACAACATAGAATCCCAAAAATTAATGTGGAAACATTTTGAAAATTCAGACTTTAGCCACAGGTTGAAGAAAATATGTAAAAGTTACCCGGTAGATGAACTACACTTCTTTCTTACTAAAAACATTTTTCTACTTGTCTGAGTTGGTAGCACTAACCTCTCGGTCAGAACGTGCAAACCACAGGTAAGTTCACCATCCAGGCTGATACTCCAGCATAATACTGGATGAGCACTGCACCGTCAGAAGTGCCAAGTGCTTTCATCTGAAGCATTAAAAGAGGGGTGCTGTTTGGGTAGATGTTAACAATCCCATGGCACTGTAGTATGGTACACTGACTGACAATCCTGCAGATAATTCACTTCCTGGGTACTTGTGGGACCTGCTGTATGTAAAATGGCTGCTTTGTTTGCCTGCAATTTCAGTCTCCACACGTAACAGAAATTCTCCTACATTTTGATATTATAAGCACTGTATCAAATACAAAGATTAATATTACTCTGTAAATTTATTATTTTGGGCGAGGCTATTTGATACAAAGTACATTTATTATTTTGAAAGTTCAATACATAGCTGAGCATCAACACTGTTGTACAGTATTTCTAAAACATTAGTCAATGAAGTAAGAGTAGTATTTTTAATTTTTTTATTTACTTTGTTATATAACAATGCTTTTTAAATTTACAGACTAAGTTTACAGCTTGTTAGCTAGCGGTGATTTAGTGATTCTCACCTAAATTATGAATTTGGCAGCATAGCTTATTTAGGATCAAATTTTCTCTAGATTTGTTCTTGGGCTCCAGGTAAGATGTAGATTCCTGTGAATATGCTCACAATTGCTAACAAGAAAATCCAGTTACTTAAGTTCACCCATCACTCAAAATACTTTGAATTTTGGACTATTTATTTCAGTTTAATCATAAATGTTGAATGTTTAATCACAACAGTCATATAAATAGTTCCTAAAAGCACCTTTTGTTAATGATAGCTGGTCCACATTCTCGGTAATCATTAGCAGTGACCCACATATCCTTAAACGCTGTCAGACTGGTTAAGATTGAGGCTCCCATCCAAACAGAATAGTTCCTGTTTGGTGGTGCGATGACTTTCACTTGTACTCCACTGGGGGTTTGCAATTTGATCTCCTTCAGCAGCCTTTCTTCCAGACCTGGAAAAAGAGTGCAACCACCAGAGAGTAATATGTTGCTAAATAAATCTCTGCGTAAGACTTTATCAAATTTTAAAATACTATTGCAGATCAGTTTGTGAATTCCAGGTTCTTCTAAACCCATGTTGACTGGTGTAAAAAGTGATTCTGGAGCTCTAAAGAGCTCCTTTTGGATCATGGTCACATTTCCATCAGGGAGCGTGTACTCCTGTTGAATATCTTCTACGTTCTTCTTATTTTCTACCTTTGGATCGAGAGCAATATAGCAAAGTGTTTCCTTGATGTTCTCAAATATTTCTTTATGTATTGTAGTTGAAAAGTTGTGTCCATTTTCCAACAAGAGTCTCCTTACATGTTCAGTGATATCATTCCCAGCCAATTTAAGTCTTTTAACGGCGTCAGGGAGGTAGTAGCCCTCATAAATGGGTACAGCATCAGTTATTCCAGAACCACTGTCTAGGACTATTCCTCTAGTGCGTCCCGATGCATAGAGTGCCAAAGTTCCAGGGATAGCTATGTACATAGCAGGTACGTTAAAACCCTCAAACATGATCTCGGCCATCTTTTCTCTATTACGGAAAGGAGTCAGCGGAGCTGCAGTCATCAAAACTGGTCTTTCTTTTGATTTGATATGAAGCTCAAATGAATAAACGTGTCTCCAAAGCTTCTCCATATCCTCCCAGGAGGTTATTATGCCACGTTCAATTGGGTACCTTAAGGACAAGAATTCTCTTTTATCTTGAGCTTTTTTCCCAAAATAATATTCTGCGTGGCCAGCCTCTCGCGTACATCCTTTGGCTTTGGAGGTACCCACAACGGATGGTATGACTGAGGCTGGGAAGCTGTCTCCAACTAACCCAGATTTGCAGAACCCAGAGCCGCTATCTATGATTACAGTGGTAATGTCCATCATTTGATAATTTCAGGCAATCTTGATACCTTGAGTGAAGAATGTCTAAATATTTGACCAATAATGTACACAGTAGACCACAAAACCTCCTCTGTACATGCAAATACACTGTCATTGCAACTCCAGATGAATACTTAATGCAGTACAGTTGGTTGCAATCAAATGACACAACAATTGGTATCTATGTGATGAGTGAAAAGAGCCACTTCATAAACCTGACCCTTCGTTGACCTATGACTCAATGGCTAAATGCGCAGGAACAAATGAGCAGTTTGTGTACGTTCGTGTCTATTGACCCACCATACTAAGAAAAAGGTTTCATGTGTTTTTTTAAGGGAGGTGGAATGCCTTGTGAGATAGTGAGGAAGCTTCTGCTAATATCATGAGATGTTGAGTCGATCTCCAGTTAAATATAAAATTAGCCCACAGATGGAAACTATTTAACATAATTGATTAGAAACGAGTTCTTTTGCTTTATGGACCTGGGTTTGAATCAAGCCGGGACTAATAGAATAAAGGAACATTCTTAGCTATAGCTACAAATGGAAACCAACTGGGCATCCTGAAATCAGTTTGGTTGGTTATGTAATAGGAATGTTTGGTGTTTCATGCCATCTGTAACTTTTCTGCTCTCAATGTAGTGGTTTACAGTAAACCTCAATACATCATATCAGTTTGGACCACACATTTAATATGACAAGCAAAGTATGAGTTGTGTTACACTGGCATAAGTGGTATAATTTATGACTTGTGTAAAGTTATGTATAAGTCAGATTTTATATAACTAACACACAACAGATACAGTATACGTGGATTGTACAATATTTACTAGTGAATCAAGGCAAGGTTTCTGTACCGTGTTTAGCCCATGCATATTAAAGTTATGGTAGCTCATTGTTTCTATATACAGGACTGCACGGTACTGTTCTGTGACAAAAACATATACTGTACGATGAATGGCACAACCAAACGTGTTTCAAAACAGAACTGTTTTATTAGGCTATAAATTCTTACAAAGATTGTTTAACATGGAGCAAGGTGGTCCAACCTTTTGGCGACTGAGGAACGGATGCCCTGTTTGAGAATCATGAAATGCTGCCCTTACTTCCCTCTCTCTTTCTCTCTCTCTCTCTCTCTCGCTCTCTCAATGACTCTCTCACCCTCTCTCCCTTCCCCTCTTGTGTTTCTCTCTTCCCTCTCCCTCAGTCACTCTCTGTCCTCTCTCCCTCCCTCTCTCTCTTTCTCAATCAGCCGCGCGTTCGTGTGCAGGAACAGCTGTCAGAAATTGAGCCGCGCAGTTGTTTGAGAAAGAGAGAGAGAGGTCCTCCCAACCGGCAACTCTCGGCGCTGCCCTGAGAGGACAGTGCGCAAGCGAGAGAGGCAGTGGGCGGCCTGAAGTTTTTCTCTTTCTTCTCTTGCACGATGATGTTGATGTTGGCCCCCAGAAGGAAAAGCGTGGTCTCCTTGGAGATGAACTGGCTCCAAGGTGATGTTTGGCGACGGAATGTTGGAATGGAGCCCACTCTCTGTGGTGGTCTCAGTAGTCCACTATCTAAGCCATGTGGGTCCACAGGTCTCCAGAGCACTGCTGATGACAGCACAGGCAGACTTGGAAGAGCAGACCAGTCATTGGGGTAGGGACTCTACCCGCTCAGCTCCCACTAACCCTGGAAGCGAAGGCCCTAATAGTTAGGGTGGTCCTAGCTGGATAAGGGATGGGAAAGCTTGCCAGATAGTGCTCTTCATTGCAAGCCATGTGGTTTTACCTAGTTAGACTCCAGCAGTAGCCCACGCACTCTGAGGTCCCCAAACCTTGATTCTTGCCAACCTTTGCCTAATACTTTGCAGAATTAGGTAAGCAGTTTGCTGTTCTCCATGGAAAGAGTGCGCATTCCAACAAACATCTCTGGTATTTCCATGTGTAGCTGGGAAACATGGAATTCTGTTTGGTTTGGATACTCTTAAGCAAGATGAAAGGTTTCTGCATTTGCCAGACATTCGGCTGACCNAAAAAAACCACTCAAAACCTATGTGTGTGTATATATATATATTTTCCAACAGGGGTTACTGGATAATTATTAGTAGTGAGAACTGTTTGATTTTTTTTCACTTTTCTCACACCAGAGAGAACCTGGGATTAATGATTTATATGACTTTTATTATACTGTGGAAATATTATTAATATTAATGATCCTTGCATTTGATATTGTGCCTTATCCTGTTGTCGAGACAACAACAACAACAACAAGATTCCATTTATAAAGCGCCTTTCACGTCAGGAGGACGTCCCAAGGCGCTGCACAGTTGGGTCATGACCCGAGCAGGGGGGAAATGGTCAGGGTGAGGGGAGGGAAGGGAGGGAGCGAGGAGGGGGGAAATGGTCAGGGTGAGGGGAGGGAAGGGAGGGAGCGAGGAGGGGGAAGAGAGTCGAGAGGGGAGCTGAAGGCACGGTCAAAGAGAAAGGTTTTGAGACCGGCCTTGAAGGAGGAAAGGGAGGAAGCAAGGCGAAGGCACTGGGGGATAGAGTTCCAGAGCCTGGGGGCTGAGAGGCTGAAGGCCCGACCACCGATGGTAGGGCGGTTGGGGCGGGGGACGTGGAGCAGACCGGAGCCAGAGGAACGGAGGGTACGGGCAGGTAGGTAGGGGGATAGTAGGTTGGAGAGGTAGGAGGGAGCAAGGCCGTGAATGGCCTTGTAGGTGAGGATGAGGATCTTGAAATCAATCCTCTGGGGGATGGGGAGCCAGTGGAGGCGAGCGAGGGTGGGAGTGATGTGGTCCCGAAGCCTGGTGCGGGACAGTACACGAGCTGCAGAGTTCTGAATGACCTGCAGCTTGTGGAGGGAGGTGGCGGGAAGGCCGGCGAGGAGAGAGTTCCCATAGTCCAGCCTTGAGGTGACAAAGGCGTGGACCAGGGTTTCAGCAGCGTGAGGGGTGAGGTAGTGCCGTAGTCTGGCGATGTTCCGGAGGTGATGGAAGGCGGTGCCAGTTGTGGTGCGGATGTGAGGGAGAAAGGACAGCTCAGGGTCGAACAAAACGCCGAGGTTCCTGACTGGCTTTGAGAGGTGGAGAGTGCAGCCTTGGATGCTGATGGTGTCAGCGCCTGAGGTGCGGAGGCGCTGACGTGAGCCAATCAGGAGGGCCTCGGTTTTTCGCACGTTGAGCTGAAGAAAGTTGTCTCTCGTCCAGGACTCGATGTCGGACAGGCAGCTGTCAGGACATCGGTGGTCGTGGAGTTGAGAGTAGAGGAGGAAAGGTAGAGTTGGGTGTCATCCGCATACATGTGGAAGTTAACCCATGTCTGCGGATGATGTCACCGAGGGGGAGCATATAGAGGGTGAAGAGGAGGGGACCAAGGACAGAGCCCTGAGGGACACCACATGAGACAGTGCGGGGGTGGAGGAGAAGCCATTCGTCGAGACGAAATGAAGACGGTGAGAAAGGTACGACCTAAACCATTCAAGGACAGTGCCTTGAAGGTTGAGGTGGGAGGACAAGCGGTGGAGTAGGATAGCGTGGTCGACCGTATCGAATGCTGCCGATAGGTCGAGGAGGACGAGGAGACAGAGGGAGCCCTGGTCACAGATGGTCAGGATATCATTGGTGACCTTGACCAGGGCAGTTTCTGTGCTATGGGCAGCACGGAAACCTGACTGAAGGGGTTCGAAAAGAGAATGGGTGGAAAGGAAAGAGCGCAGTTGGGAGGCGACAACTCTTTCCAAGACCTTGGAGAGAAAGGGGAGGTTGGAGACGGCTCAAAGCTCTACACAGGACGGCTCTAACCTTCACAGGTTTGTGAGACATTGGTTGTCATGTTTGCCCACAAAATACACAAGTGATGTGACTCTTGTATTTTGTGGGAAAACATGACAACCAATTTGCGCACAGCAGTGTCCCACAAACAACCTATAGTTGGTGACCAATTTTATTTGGTATCTGTTGGCCAAGACAACGGCCAGGATGAACTCTCTTTTCAAATAGTGCCATTGGAATTCTTAATGTCCACCTGGACAGACAGGAAGGAACTCGCTTTAACGTCTCATCCAAAAGACAGCACTTTAATTGAGAGCTTAATAATGATTCAAATATTTTGTCAATGCTTTTATAGTAGTTAATTCTATCCTGAGCTGCCTTGTTTCAGAAGTGCATGAGTATAAAATTCAATCATATGTTGATTTATAATAATTTATAATAATCCCTGCATTTGATATAGCACCTTATCATGTCGCTGAGATGTCGCTGAGGAGGGCCATTCACGGCCTTGCTCCCTCCTACCTCTCCGACCTACTGTCCCCCTACCTACCTGCCCGTACCCTCCGTTCCTCTGGCTCCGGTCTGATCCACATCCCCCGCCCGAACCGCCCTACCATTGGTGGCCGGGCCTTCAGCCTCTCAGCCCCGAGGCTCTGGAACTCCATCCCCCAGTGCCTTCGCCGCCTCCTCCCTTTCCTCCTTCAAGGCCGGTCTCAAGACCTTTCTCTTTAACCGTGCCTTCAGCTCCCCTTTCGACTCTCTACCCCCTACTCGCTCCCTCCCTTCCCTCCCCTCACCCTGACCATTTCCCCCTGCTCGGGTCCTGACCCAACTGTACAGCGCCTTGGGACGTCCTCCCGACGTGAAGGGCGCTCTATAAATGGAATCTTGTTGTTGTTGTCTCAAAGCGCTTCACTGTAAAATGGATTGATTGTGTACTTTGTGGGCGAAAAACGGCAGCAGGTCCCACAAACAGCCATGGAATGAGTGACCAATTTTATTTGAGAGATTCGTTGGTCAGGACAGTGGGGAGAAACACCCTTCTCTTTTCTAACAGTTCCACGGGATCTTCAACTGTAATCCAGGAAATGCAATGTATGTAGGGATTTAGCAGCAAAATAACACACTTCTGTTCCTAGACTTGTGGATAGTGTGTCAGGTTGCAAAGAAAGGCAAATTTGCCTCATGCCTCAAATGCCTTCTTTGCCATTCTCCCCATCTCCACCATACACAGGACCCAGCTGATCCAAAACTCCGCCGCGGCATACTTAACCGCACTAAACTCCGTACCCCCATCAAACCAGTTCCACTCGCTCCCTATCACCAAATGGATCGATTTCAAGATCCTCACACTTGTTTTCAAATCCCTTCATGCACCTCCCTGCCTCTTTGACCTGCTTATACCCACAACCTGCTGCCTCCACTCGACTAGCTCCGGCCTTCTGCATGTCCCTCATGCCATGCCGTCCCTTCCACCACTGGTGGCCGTGCTTTCAGCCACTACACCCCAAAACTCTGGAACACTCTTCCTCTATCCCTCCGCCTTGCCCCTTCCTTCCCCATCTTCAGGTTGTGTCTGAAGACCTTCCCATTCGACCATGCCTACGGTCACCTCCACCTACCCCTGGCTCTGCGTCATGCTCCACTACTGTCAAGGCTCTGGGATGCTGCCCTACATGAGGGATGCAATGTAAATGCAAATTGTTGCTGTTGTTGGCTGTTTGTGAGACATTGCTACATGCAAATTAGGTGCGGTGTTAATCTACAAATCCTATGAAGCACTTTGAAACGTCTTCCTGGTGTGAAGGATGCTTAATCAAATGGAACTATTATTATTATTTAATCATTTTATCTATGTGAGTGGTTTCGAATTTTGGTGTATTCAACCTCATTATTGAAAATAACACATACAAACCCTAATTGTATTTTTCAGGCTCTTCCACAAGCTGTCCTCCTACAAGGTCACCATGAAAGGCATCTGAAAGTTGTGCAAACAAGGCGATTGTTTTGCCAGTTGAGACGATTTCCTCCATCTGTCATGCCAGCCGAATGAAATTTCCATCTATTGACTATTTCAGCCAATATAAATGCTGGTCCAAGCGGTTGATCTTCTATTACAACTGGAGTCAGATAACCTCCAGATAATAGTTCAATACCAGTTGGAAAAATGCTGCGAGATTTAAGAATGCCCGCTACTTAGCTTCATGCATCCAACTTGTGCAGTTGTTGTGGAAGGCCCACCATCTGAGGGATCCCCAAGCTCTTACCAAGGCCCCACATCTGCTCCTGAAATGTCTCTCCTTCATGCTTTAGGTCCGGTGCAGACCTGGCTAGGACAAGAGTTGGAGAAATGTGGGATTGATGCCATGATCTACACTCGATATGTCCTAAGTCTTCTGCTTCATGACAGTTATGACTACGACTTACAGGAACAGGTATGCAAAAATCATTTTGTCTATGCATACATGTTAAATCTTAAATTACAATTTTTATTTATGTTGGGATCGAAGAACATATCATGACTCACAACTGTAGTAATTATAAAGGAATCATGGGGTTCCAACCTCATAACAGCAGTTTTGGCAAGAGTTGATGTAGTCAAGTCTGGATGTGATGATGGTTTCTGTGGCCCAAGGGGAAAGGTAGTGGCAGATGCGAGCAATGTTGCGGAGGTGGGGGAAAGCTAAACAGGTCAAGGTGGGGTTTAAAGGACAGTTGAGAGTCAAAACAAGAAACCTGTTTTGCACTAGCTTTGTGAAGTGTGCATCCATGTAAATTGATGCTGTCAGCACCAGAGGTGAGAAGGCACTGATAGGAGCCAAGCAAGAGAACCTCTGTCTTGTTAAAATTCAAATACTGAAAGCTAACTCTCATCCAGGACTTAATGTCTGACAGTTAATCAATCAAAACAGCAATAGTCCTGGAATCGAGGGTGGAGACAGAGAGAGAGTTGGGTGTCGTCTGCATACATGTGGGAGTTAACCCCATGCCTGCAGATGACATTGCTGAGCGGGAGCATGTAGATATTAAAGAGGAGAGGATAGAATCCCGAGGAATGCCGTACATGTACAAGAATAGTGCAGTCACAGTACCACATACAATGTGATCAAAGTGACACCAAACATAGTGGAAAATACTTTAGTCCATGTGTCACTACCTTTGTTTGCATTCATATGCTTGAAATAGCTTTCCTGCTTCATCTGAGTCTACTTTCACAATGCACGGGCTGAGCAACTTTCAATTCAAATTACTCTATAAGTCAGTGCCGCTTAGTAATGTATTAAGAATCCCAGTCCCAGTATTTTCCTTGAGGACCATTTTCTGAAGTGATGGGACTTAGTGCCTCTCGTAGTGAGCTGATTTGAAATGACACCCTGGGTTGTTGTCATGTAGAAATTGGGCATTCTTTGTTGCTCCACGCCCAAATAACGCCCCCCCCCCCCCGAACAGGAATAGGTAGTAGATGAGAAATTGGAGTAAATTTGCAAAGGAAATGTGTTGTTGCAGCTATAAAACTTAAGCTAATGCCCCGTTGCTGCCTTTGGTTGTAGTGCTGAAAGATCATTTCTCTTCACACACACCTCTGGACTCAGTAATTCAAATAGCTTCATAGAATAATAATAATAATCCTTGCATTTGATATAATAATAATAATTATTATTCTAGACATCTCAAAGCACTTCACCGAATAGATTGTAAAATGAATTGACTGTATATTTGTGGGCGAAATGCGACAGCCAATTGCACACAGCAGTGTCCCACAAACAGTCGTGGATTGAAGTGGCCAATTTATTCTTGTTTTTTTTCTTGAGGGATTATTATCAGGCGTGTGGAGTAAGGAAACTTGCCCATGGTTTCGCCCTGCTGGGAATCGAATCCAGGTCTCTTGCTTGCAAAGCGAGTGCTCTAACCACTGAGCTACAGGACTCCACAGTACTGCTGTGACAGTACTGCTGCTGAGTACTTTGCAGAGTGCAGCCCATCTGTACAAGTGGTGCAATTATTGTCTCTCTATCACCCAACAGTTCCCCCAAGTTTATTAAAACCCTGTAATTAGAAAATGATTGTCACAAATTGTCACTAAGTACAACTGTGCATGAGTTTGTGGAAGTAGTTTTTATTCTGTTACTGTAAATGTTTGGGATTTGCACCTCATTATGAATTCTTCTTCATCATACATCCTTTTCACACAAATGGAGACTTTGGTACTGGTTAATGTTTTACAATAAATGCTTTGAAGATTTAAACAGTGAATGTAAGATGTTTTTTTCAATGTGAAGCGTTTCACAGCAGCACTTCCAACTTATTTTCAACCAACATCCACAGAAGAATACTGTCATGAGTAACAATTGTGTAGATTCAATTAGACTTATGTTTAATTGTTCACCTTAATGTTTATTTTATACTGAAAGTATTGGACCTAAATCGTTGTGAAAAATTAAATGTAAATCTAATTTAAGATATACAGTCCAAAGCAATCTGCTAGATTCCTGCTGCTGAATCAGTGTTGAGGTGGTTTTACCCGGGCATTGATTCACACTGTTAGAGAGTGAATATAAGTATAAATTGATTCAGCCTGCACTCAAAATTTGTCTCTTAAAAGTTCTTAAAATAGAAAGAAATAGTTGCTTATGGTAAAGACTGGGTAGTTGTGCCTCTACAGAGATTCTCAATTGGCAAGAATGATTTGGAGCAGCAAAAATAAATCACCTTTTCCCCCTCAAAATCTCTACTGCTGGTAGCAAAGTCTTATAAACTAGCGTAAATATCTAAATATTGTAGTAGAACGATTAGCGTTTTCCTACAGATGCTGTTTTTGAAACGTTTCCAAATGGTAGCTTTGAGTGCAACCTCCTGCTTTTTTTTATAGATTTTTCAAGAAACTTGGAAGATTTACATAATTTCTATTTGTGTGTGATTAAAATTCAACACTTAACTCTGTGTAATTGTAATGTATTCTGCAGTGGTACCAATCGGTTTACATTACGGTATGACTACTATACCTTGATAATTGTGATTTAATGTGGTAATTCGACAACAGGTCAAAATACCTTAAAGCTGTTTACTTGAATAAAGCATTTATACTTTTCCCGATTAAAGATGGCCAGTTTAAGACTCTTTTTACTCTTATCTGTTTGAACAGAGAGCATAGAGATGTAAGGGTTGAAGTCCATAGATCATTAAAATCTAGTTTGCAATTATAGAAAGTATTCAATAAGGCAAATGAGATTTATCCATGTTACTTTGAACGTTAGAGCAATGTTTTAGTCAGATCGACCAATCTCAATTGGCTTGTTTTGCTAGCTTTCAGCCTGGCTATTGAACATAAGCAAGGATATCCATCCCAAGAGGAAGAATTTAACTACATTTGTGGATTAAACTCTCCTTGAAACTGCAAGGAGGATAATAATAAGAGGTTCAAGGCTCAAACTACCCCTACTGTTTCTTTTTAAAAGGAATTATCACATCTGATCCTCTGAGATTATGGTCGTGTACGCAACCTGGGCGTCAGGTTTGCTCCCCAATTATCCTTCCTCCCCCACATCCGGTCCCTCTCCAGCACCACTTTCTTCCATCTCCGACATATTGCCATCTCCGCCAATCATCGGCGGCCGTGCCTTCAGCCACAATGCCCCAAGGCTCTGGAACCCCCTTCCTCACTCTCTTCGTCTCGCCACCTCTCTTCCTTTTTCTCCGGTCTCGGCTGAAGACCTTTCTTTTCGACCGCGCCTTTGGTCACCTTCCTCCCCCTCCCCCTGGCTCGGCGCTGGGATCCATTGCTATGAAGCGCTCTGAGACGCCGTCCGGCGTGGAGGGGGCTATATAAATCCAAGTTGTTGTTGTAACATTTTCAAATATCAATTTTACCTATATTGTATTGTCATGTAAAACATCATCTGCATCTTAAAATGGCAACATCACCTTAATCTTTAAGCATTCAATTAGTTCTCTTATGGTTTTGAATTTGAGGGACACCCTTGATTCAGTAAGAAAATGCAGGACATTTTAGAAGCAGGTAAAAGTATTTTTGACCCAATAAACTTGTTCTCTATCTCATCTTCCCATTTGTGCGATGTTCCTTCATCACTTCATTCTCCAGAAACACATCCAGTTGTGTCCTGAACCCATTTATATTGCGTGCTTTCGATGGCCTTCCCTGATATCTTATCGATTCAGTATATTGTTCATGCCCAACAAACCATTAATTCTGTCCAAATTTAGTGGGGGTTTTTTTGCACTTTAAACATGGCATGGTGGTTTCTCTGTGTACTAATTACATCACTCTTCTGTCAATCAGGAAAATGACATCTTGGGCTGGGAGAAAGGAACCAGCAAGAAATGGGGAAAAGGAAAGAAGAAGTGCTCAGATCTGAGTCTTGAGGAAATGAAGAAACAGGCTGCTGTTCAGTGTCTGCGTTCTGCCTCTGATGAATTTAAGGTGTGTAGCTATACTTTGATTCATGATTTGCAAATTCCTTGAAGGCATGATGTACTACTTCTGGGATCATGCCAGAAACGCTGAAGTCAGCATTGTGACATGTCTAAGGAAACCAGAATTTGTTTCTGAAAACAAAAACAGAGATTGCTGGGAACACTCAGCAGGTCAGGCAGCATCTATGGAGAAAGGAAAGTGAGTCAACGTTTCAGGTCCTCGACTCTTCATCAGAACTGGGGCAGGTTAAGAGGGAGAGGCTTTTAAGGGCTAACAGAAAGTGGGGAGGCAGGGCAAGGAAGACAGGAGAAAATGGGGTAGAGGACAGCGGATGATGGGTTAAAAAGGTGTTAATGATGTAAAACAAGGAGGGATTGCAACAAAGCAGGGGAATAGAGGTGTTAATACTTTCCTCTACCCCATTTTCTTCTTTATCTTCCTTGCCCTGCCTCTCCCTCCCAACATGCGCAGTTCTGACGAAGGGTTGTGGACCTTAAGGTATGACTCGATTTCCTTTCTCCATAGATGCTGCCTGACCTGCTGAGTGTTCCCAGCGACTTCTCTTTCTATTTTCAGATTTCCAGCATCCACAGTATTTTGCATTTTGCAGAATTTGTTTCTGTTTTATTTTGTATTTTCACTTTGCCTTAAGAACGAAACCAAATTGTTGGTTTATTCCTGACATTTTGTTTAGCACCATTCACATCAGAAGAACATCTCAAAGTGCTTCACAGAATATATTTTAAAGTGTAGTGACTTTTTGTGGGTAAATCCTGGAGCATGTATATATTATGCACAATTACTACAAAAACAACAATTTGCTGTGCATTATATACAGCCCTTTGTGTCTGGAGGACATCTCAAAGCACTTCACACAGCTAACTGGCACCTTGAGCTGAGGGGTGGTGAGGAAGTTGGGGAGGAAAGTGGCTGAAAGGTTGATCAAAAAGGCAGGGAGGGAGGGGCAAAGTAGAAGGACTTGCCCACCATTGGTGTGGCAGATTGGGAGGGGACCTGAAGCAGGCTGGTGCTTGGTGATGTAAAATTATATTTGCAATTAAGGCTTTTAATTAATCTTTATATATTGTTAAAAATGTTTTAGAATGTAATCCTACCTATAATCCTTTATGGTATGACCACCTAATCTCATGAAGCATGATGGAATTGTGTTTGCCAGAAGCAACTAGTTTAGGGTTCCTGAAAGGATTGTGTTAAAGATATCTTGGCTGGTCCCGGTTGAGGTCAGTTTCTGATAACATTCTCCTTTCTCAAGGCTGAGAAACTCAGGCTGCAGAAAAGCTCCCTAAAGATGTCTGTCTCTCTCTTTCCCAATCAGTTATTTTCTCTGAGATGCTACCCTGCGTGAGGGGCACTATACAAAATGCAAGTTGTTGTTGTTTTCTCATGGGAAAATAGTCTGCTCAAGGCCATTAAAGATGGAGGGGGCTGCAGCTCAATTTTTTCAGAGGAAAAACTAGAGACAAAGGCGGGGATGCTTGTGAATCAGATGATGGAAGGGGAGGTGGAGTTAAAAAACACATTTAAAAAAAGATGCAACTTTGAAAGGGTCGAAGCCGGCATACAGGGTCAGCGTGCTTCCTAGTGGAATCGGGTAATAGCGAGTTTACTGTATCTGGTCTCAGTCTGAAGAATAAGTTAGGTTAGCCTATTCGACATGCTGCCTATTCGTATTAATTACTTTAATAAACTGTTGGACTATTACATAACCGATTGGTTGTCTCCTCCTGAATCTTTATCTCTTACAAATTTGAATCTTACAGTGAGCAGAGGTAGCGGTCAGGTGGTAGTGTGGAGTGAAGGCGTGGAAAGATTTAAAAGTGAGGACAATGTTCTTGAATTTGATTTGCTGGGAGCTGGGCAACCAGTGGAGCTGAGCAAGGATGGGGTAATGAGCTTGTGGAGCTGGTGCAGGATAAAACATGGGGTGTAGAGTATGGATGCTACAGCAGTAGTCTTAAAATCTTACTGATAACAAATTTACCCTCTATTTTGTTCATGTCGAAATTTTGCATTTTACATTTTAGTAAACCATTGGTGTAGCAGTATTTGTCCTAAAGCCAAAGGTCTATTTGGAGTCTTCCCTCCTTTGTATGTTTCCTCCAGTAGTGCGTGCAGGCATCTGTTTTTGTGTTTTGGATTTCATTTACATCCTGCACAGCAGTATGATGTTGATAAAGCTACATTTTCATGTAATTGTGCATCTGTTGGTATGCCACTTTTTCACCCCCTTCTCTCTGGCCCTAATAGTTTAAATGCTGGCCCGCAGCATCAGTTAACCTCCCAGATTGGATATTCCTGAAGGAATATCTTGTACCAATTATTTCTTGCCTAATGTCAGACAAATTTGAACCCCTTGCTCCTGCACCAACTTGCCAACCACACATTTAGCTCTCTAATCTTCCCATCTCTGTATTGATGAGCACATGGCTCAGGTAGCAATCCCGAGATTACGACCCTTGAGTAATCTGCTCCTAACTCCCGGAACTCCTTTTGCAGAATCTGCAGCCTTCTGCTTCCTATGTCACTGGTTCCAGTGTAAACCATGACATCTGGATGTTCTCTCTCTAATAGTCCTGTATTACCACAGTATTCCTGTCCTTTACTCACTTTTGCAATCATTTGCTCTATGGTGCCCTGGCTTTTACCATGGTCGTGCTTCCTGAACCGCTCTCTTTGCCATGGGTTTTCAATGCTGCATACCTTTGTGATAATTTATTTCCTGTGCTACTTTCTGTCTACTCTTCCAACCACAGTGGGCAATCACCCACTTCCCTTCCTCACCGACTTTTCTGTCTGGAGTGATCACCTCTTGGAATGTGAGGTCCAGCAACTCCCTCCACCTCCTGTATGTTATGGAGTGCCTTCAACTGCCCCTCAAGCTCAGCAACTTTGAGCTTGAGTTCAACCAGTCAGAGACACTTCTCACAAGTGTGTCACCCCAAATCCTTCACCCCTTCCTTCCCCCACTGCATACAAAGATCCTTGGAAGTTCCAACTTCTGCAGGTTCCACACAGCACAGGCACCAGTTCTTCCCCACTCCCACACTCATCTCTCCTCTAACAGTTGATAAGAAAAGATCAAGAAGCAGCAACGACACTAAAGAAACAAAAAACGTGAATAAATAAACTGAAGTGGTTCCCCTGTGCGGCAAAACCCACTGACCTTGCCCTCTCTCATTCCTGTTCTCCCACTGGCCTTGCCCTTTCTCAGTCCTTCTCTCCCATTGGCCTTGCCCTCTCTCAGGCCTGCTCTCCCGCTGGCCTTGCTCCCTTGCTGGCACCGATGCACAGCAATATCCCCAAAACAGCCATGAAGTGAATGACTAATTTTATTTGGAGGAATGTAGCCAGCATACTGCGAGAAATTCCTTTCTCTTTTCGAATAGTGCCATGAAATGTTTAAAGTCCATCTGAACAGGCTGACTGGACTTTGGTTTAACATCTAATCAGAAGGCAGCATATCTGACAATGTTACCCAGAACTGCACTGGAATGTCAGACTAGACTAGGAATTCAAAGTCCTCAGTTCAAAGTGGAGCTTGAGACAAGCTAGGGCTCTTCAGCCTTGAGAGAAGACAACCCAGACGGAACCTCATAGAGATGAATAAAATGAAAATGGGATTGAAAAAGTGTGTATATATATATATAATAATGCTTGCATTTGATATGGCGCCTTATCGCGTCTTGGAGGCATCTCAAAGCGCTTCACAGAATATACTGTAAAGTGAATTGACTGTATATTTTGTGGGCGAAACGCAGAAGCCAATTGCGCACAGCAGTGTCCAATAAACAGTCGTGGATTGAATGACCAAATTATTATTATCTTTTTCGAGGGATTATTATCCCCGGAAAAGCGATCCGCCAATCGACTAACAACCGGGTACCTCACCAACCTATTGTCCCTTCTTCTCTGTGGGGACATCTCAACTGAACAGCCTGGCAGAAAAGAGAAAAAGGATTCTCTGAGGAACCCTAAGCACAATGCACAGATGGTTAACAGCTGGAAGGGTTAGCAGACAGGGTGGTTGCACCCAGGACATCTGACCCATTTAAGAAATAGCTCAATGGTGCAATGGGAAGATGGTAAGATGGGTATTCTGGAAGGATAAGACCAAATGGGCTAAAGGTTCTTCTTCATTCATCTCTCTCTTGTGATCACCATTCTACAAGTGCCCAAATTGTACCAATTGTATTTGAAATACCTGAAACCATAAATAATCATGAACAGCAGGATGTATGGACAATGAAGTAATACTGTGAGTCAAAATTCAGCCCAGGTTTTGGCATCTACTGTGCCATTGCTGCAAACTTCAGAATGCTCCAACTAAACCTTAGTAAGCAGAGTCACCCAGATAAATAAATAAAGTAAACCCAGATCGATACTTTAGAATTCACCAAGACAATAGACAAAAGATTTAGAGTTGAAAAGGGCAATTTCGGGACAGATACAAGTAGTTTTCCTTTACTCAGAGGGAAATTAATGACTGAAACTGGTTGCCAGGACAAACTAGTCAGCCTGACCCATTGGCAGGATTTGAAGTGTAGGCAACATTCACTGGGGGCAAGGTTTCTTCCCATTCAGCTCAGTAAACCTACAAAGCCCTAACATGTAGGATGATTCCACTTGGACAAGCAGTGGGAAGCTTGCCAGACAGTGGTTTCAATGATAATCTATGGAGTTAATTCAACTTGTGATTGAAAAAAGAAAATTAAATCAGGTAACAGTGTTGGCTGTTTTTTATTTTTCAATTTCTGCTTTTATACCTTAAGCAAAAGTCGCACATTGACTAAAATTGTTATTTATATTTTATTTCTGTTGGAAAGCTCAACCCTTTTTTTCTCATTCTCCTTCCTGAGGAAAAGAACCTAGAGACTTGATGTTGTACAACTGCTTTATTTATTGCAAAGCTGCAAATATTTAATGTGCATTCAAAGTGGTTCAACTTGGAATGTTGCTAAAAATAAAGACTGTCACAGGTTCACAGA